TTAATTCCATTTTGTCCTCTCAAACTATACACGAAATCCCACTTCAGTCCCTGAACTTCAAAATGGGACACTTAAGTCCCTAAACTACAAATTATGTTCCAGTTAAGTAAAATTAGTGACGGAATCAAAAAACTTAACGGTGTATTAGGAATGTGGAGAACATGCTCCAATAGCATGATTGTGTAAGTGTTACAAACCAAAAAAAAAAAATAGGGACATGAAAGTGATTAAATAGTGGATCAGAAAGTAGATCGAATTTCATTGATGGGTAACATAAATCTAGGAGAAGGATTCTTTTGGATTCCCTGTGTTTGATGTGAAATTATTTTGGATTCAGTCTACCAAAATTATTCGTTCATGTTCACACACAGGCTTTATGAGATCTTCCACTGTGACTTGGCTGGCTGATATATATTGTAGTTTTGTTCATTCAGTAGACATGAAGGAACACCAAGAATTTGTATTGCCAATCCAAATAACAACCGAAGCTTCAAATTCAAGAGTCGCCCTTTAATTGATATTTAGGCAAAGGCAAGTAGGTTTTGTACTATCTGTTTTGACTGCTTTTTATCCAAAATAAAGTATCCAAAATACTTAGGGTCGCCTTCAAACTCAAGGGTTAATGTGTTTTGATTGTTTTTTATATCCAAAATAATTTGAACTTGCATGCATCAAAGACAAAGCAACGCAAAAGTAGAACATTTAAGTATCTTGATTTCGTGACGAGTTCCATATGAATCTAATACAGTAATCGCTGTATTTTCCTTATCATGATGAGTATCCAAAGACATTATCCAGCATTTTCTCTTATTTTGACAAAATTTTGGTTGTACAATGACTGCAAAAGCAAGCTGTATCCTTGGACGGTGGACTGACTCGGATATGGCCAGAAAAAGGACGACTTGACAGGGACAGCACGGACAATTGATTTTTGCCTCAATGCTAAATTGCTTATTCCCAAGACAGTAATGTAGACGGATCCCAGAGAAATCTGGGGTTTTATTAGTTAATTCATGGCACTAAAACAGTTACAGGAGTAGTGAATGCCGACGGATTGGTGCTTTGGAGGCTTAAATGCCTGACATGATCATAGAAATCTTCATAAATTCTAAACTACAAGTAATCATGCATGGTTTCAGACTTTACAGAAACAGTAGAGGGAAGCGTTCTTCACTACGAAAGGCATCGTTCCATGATTCAGACGTTTAGAAATGATGGATAACAGTTGATCCATATTTTCTTTCAAGTCAAAAAGGGAATGGCATCTTATCAAGTTTATGCCATGCAGATCGAAAATCACCAAGGAGACTCGAGATAAGCATTAAACATGAAAGCTTAAGATTCGACAGCAAAGATAAGGATCCTGCACTTCGGCAGATTTTCTTTTCTTTCTTTTTTTTTTTTTTAAGCACACTTTGGCAGAATCAAAGTGCAGCAATTTGGCAGAATTAGATTCTCACTAGTGAGGAACCTCAAGACATGACAATTTTGGCAGACTCAAATTCTGCCAAAGCGCGGCAATTTGGCAGAATTAGATTCTCACTAGTGAGGAGCCTCAAGACATGACAAGTTTAGCAACTGATATTACAAACTGAGATTACCAATTGGCATTGCTTCCATCATCCGAGTAAAAAGGGCAAGAGAATGACACCTTTGCTAGCTAACTGATATTAAGTCAAAGCCATGAAAAGTCTTTTGGATGAATTCATATACTTGCTAGCTAGATAATGTTCTACTAAAATGTTTTACATTCCAAATCTCAAACTTAATTTTGTTATTATTAGGGCCAATAGTTCATAACTTTACCTTAATTTGTTGGTAAAGAAAGTTTAACTAGTAGAACGGCCATATTCATATCACTGGCCATCACTTCACCGTGACTGGCCATCACGGCTGAGGTGGAAGCTGTAGTGAAGGCCGTTGGGGACGACACAATATGGAATGCAATGCGGGGATTCAAAGGCATGAATACGTGCAATAAGAATATAGTCACCACTATTGGTGCTGGACAGGTAAATAATGATTGCATGCCCAGCTAGACCTCGTGTACTTGGACACCAAAAACTCTTTCAAATATTATTTCACTTGCATCATAAACATATTTTTTAATTAATTTTTAATTATCTTTTTATCTCTCGTCCATTCAATCACAAAAGATGCTATAATAATTATTTCAAATTTTATTTTGCGTGTTTTTCAGGTGGTTTTGACAGGTTTTGGAAATCATATTGCTAAACTGCACCAAATAATTGCCGCTCAATTCATTCATAGATTTTATTTCTCCACGACTATTTTTATAATGCTTAAAATTAAAATTGCACATGTGTAATACAAAAGGAAACTAGATGCTGAGCTTAAGTTGGGATTTTGCACAAGAAATCTTTATCAAAGTGTTGTTAGGTTGCTACTGTATAGTTTTGATTTGTGCTGACCAGAACGTGTTTTGCATTATGTTAGAATGCTTGTGTGCATTCTTTGCTTATCAATTAAAGGTGCCATTTACGTGGAAAAAAAAAAAAAAATCACACATGTCGATCGGTTTTTTACAGATTGTTTGGGAGCAGACAATTTGTTTCCCAATTTTGATTCTGGAAATTCATAATTTTCATACGTTTGAGTACCAAAAAAAGTACAGGTAAACTTTGTAACTGGTTTTAGCGAACTAAAAAAATTTGGTAAACGGCATATAGATAGTTCACATAAGATACAGTGTGAAATTATTTGTTTGAATACAAAAGAGAATGAAAACAAAAAAAAAAAAGTAAAATGAATTTTCAGGCCATACTAACTAGCTAGGACATTCAAATTAACTTATAAACAGCTTGTATATAAACATTGAGAAAGTATAAGGAGTTGCAAATGAAAGTAATCTCTACATCGATGAGGTCTTTGTCTAGTAATTGAAATTGAAACTCCAAGATTTAGAAGTCCCGAGTTCTCATCTCCTCTCCCACTTTTTTGCTTCTTAAATCCCATCTCTTCTTTATTAGAAAAAAAAATTTTAAAAAGAAAGTAATCTCTACATTCTTGAATTGTCTCAAGCAATATCTTATATTTTTAGTTGTCTACTACTTAGGCAGGTGGTCTCTTGAATTGTTTGATTTGATTAAGCCTCTTCCAAGTATATATTGTAGTTGCTTTATTAATTGGTTGGATTTGGTATTCTTGTTGTTTGTTTGAAAGGACATTCTAATTGATTTTGGGAACTCAATTGTTTGGGGTTCTCTTACTGACGACCAAAAAAAAAAAAAAAAAGTCTGGGGTTTACAGAAGGACATGATGGTAGGTAGTCTAAATAGAGGCCTTTTCTCTATATTTCCTGTACCAAGAACAGTGAAGCCGACTGACCATCAGGCGAACTAAAAAAGATTCATATACCGAAGTACTGGCTATAATTCATCCCAATGAAATCCATTTTAACAAGCTTGTATCTAGACGTTATATGAAGTTTATTTCTTGTTGATTGCTTTAATCAGAAAACGTGAATTTGGGGAGACATAACTTCGGAGGCTTAAACTTGAAATTTTCCTTTTGTTTTGATGGATAAGAAAAGCAACTTAAAATGAAGAAGTTTATTTATTAGTTTGCTGCTATTTTTTCTCAGTAACTCCAGTGCACAAACGCATATATAAACTGAAGTGAGAGCAATTAAATTTGTTTTCAATGTTGTCGAAATCTTTTCAGAATATGCATTGGCCCGTGAGATTTCGACTGCCATGCTTAATTAAGGGATTGTATCTTAACAAGGAAAGACACCAAGGGATGTTAATTGTTAGTGGTGCTAAAAGCACACATGATATATGTGCAACTTAAAAATGCATGAATGTTTTCTGCAAATTATTTTATATAAATTTTCATTACTAAAGCTAACTTTGCTATTTTGATCTTCTTTCCATAAAATGATTGTAATTTTGATAGTTACAATGTTTGGAGACAGTAATTTTGTTAACATTGTTTAGATAGTTAAGGCTAACAAATAATTATGAGTGGTTATCTTCTTCTTCTTCTTCTTCTTTTTTTAAATGAGTGGTTATGAGTTGTTATCTTGACAACATTTGTTTAGGTAATAAGCAATAAGTAAGTTTTGTAAGGGTGAAGTTTATTGCCATTGAAATAGTTAACTTTAGGGTGAGTCTGATAAAACTAAACTCTAAAAACTGAAATCTGAAATTTGAAATATAAATTCGTTAAATTATTGAATTGTTAAATCCTATATCTGATACATTTTGATTATATATCATATTAAATTACAAGTGAATACCTTATCACTTATTTTTTGAAGCAAGTTTTGCTTGCGGAATTCAGTGCTACTTAATTAATTTAAATGTTCAATTTTTCGTTATCAAACGCGTCTAAACATATGAAGATCTGAATTCATTAAGTTGAAGTGTTGAATTGCGTTATCAAACAAGACCGAAGCTTGTGCTTATCTTAATTAGCATTGTTTTAATTTACTTTCACAATATCGTACAAACATTCATTCATCCTACTGGTATTATTTTAATTTTCTTTCATTCATCTTAGATAGGACTAACCAACTAATACGAAACTTTTGTCATCTCGACTTTCCCTATTTTTTCAGAATTTCTTGACCCTATAATACCATTTCTGCATTGCATCTTACACCAAGTACCTGCGTTTGTTGCTCCTTAACCAACCAGCATTTTTTTTTTCTTTTTGGGGTTAAAGTAGGGGATGGACGAGATTTAAGAAGCGGGATGAGGGAAAGGGAGATTTGAACCCAAAAACGCTAACCATTGGAACCTCAACTTTAGTTAGCAGACCAATTCCTGCTCAAATATTTACCTTAACTAAGCTACTTACCAGATATTAGAGCTCAAATTAGCTATTCAGATACCAGACCGAGCTAACGGTGACATTGCAGCTGTGCAAGTATGGTCCAATCATTTTTGATCCATCAGCCACCAAAATCATTATGTAGCCCCTGAAACAGTAACTGGACAAGCAGAATCTGCAGTTACTACATGCATGAAAGCAGATGGTTGATATTTCTTTAGCACTGATATGCGCAACTGATTCATACTTCAACACCTTCCAACATAACTCAAAAGCATAGTTATATTTACAAGGCTAGGCCTCACCAGTGAGGTGTAGCTTCACCTAGCTACATCTATAGAGAGAATGTATTTTAGTCAAACACTTGTAAGCACAAACTATAGATTCTATTTAAAAGCACTATATGACAATTGTAAGAGTAGAAACAAATTAAACATTCTCTTATTATGTTTCTATGGCCAAACCATCATGCAGCCAATTTCTCATAATGACAAATGCCTTCTCTGCATCTTCATCTTCTTCAGGAGACTCAGGCCTGTGGACAAAACCATGGCCTCTTCCCTGAAAGACTGCTATTTTTTGGTGCTCGATTTCTTTCCCAATATCTTTTAAATTGTTCACTGGACATAGTGGGTCATTGTCACCTGCAATAAACAGCACTGGTACCCTTATATTAGCTGCAGCTGAGGTACTAATTCCTGTTCCATAGAATGACACCCCAACGCCAAAGCAGCCACCCTGGTCATGTGCAAGAATATCTATCACTTGGCCACCTCCAAAACAGAATCCAATGATGCCCAGTTTCTTTGTGATTCCTGCAGCAGCAAATTCATTGACCATCCAATCTGCTGAGATAAAAATGTCTTTTGCAATATGTTCCGGATTTTGTCTAGCACGCCATTCTTCAAAGAGAGCTTTAGGTCTCTCTTTGGTCCATGGATCCCCGCGAAAAAGGTCTGGTACCAGAACACTGCAAAATGTTCACAAAGCAGCAGCAAAAAATCTTATCAGCAAAGGAATCTAAATGCACTCAGAACAGAACTCACCATGTCAAGCAAACATTTCTACAGAGATGTGTACAAGTACATTTTTGGCAATAAAAAGCAAGAAGGCATGATTACCAAGTAGTATTGTTGATTACTTGTGTATTTGTTTTTTCTTATTTTGATTTTCTTTTTCTTTTTTCGGGTAAGTAAAAAATCGTTAATAGCCCTGGAGGTAGCAACATATAAGGCAGGTTCCAAGTTAATAACTCAAAGAAAAACACAAAGGAACACATTAGCCTAATTCCACCAATAACCTATAACAGAGTATACATATAAACAACCAGTATGTGACTAATACTGCAGAGAATTCCATGTCTTGCTTTCAGGTGTTCATGATTTCATGATTACCAGACTTTCTGAAGTGTGAATCATCTACCTATATCAACTGTTTGATACAATTATTCTTTTCCAAAACATTTTTTTTGAGCAACCTGTCAGCTCTTGCATCTTTATATGTTGAGGTTCACTAGAGAGGAGTATATTACAGAGAGTGGAAACTGGCATGGCCACCCGAACACTAGATTAAGGGGTCTTACTCAGTATGACTTGTGTCCTTGGGAAGTTTGCGTATGGCGTATGAAACTGTCATACACGTATTGAAGGTCTGTCACTCATTGAGTTAGACTGAGGAAATGCTTACAAGTGAGATCTTGTTTTGGGTGAAGTTAAATTGAAGTAGTGTTACTGCAACTTACAGAAGGGAGTACCATGTCAACTACTACTCCATGACAAAATCTAGTTTCAGTCAAGTCACTAATTAGCAGCAATGCATAAGCTCGAAGGGGTAAATAACTCAGAAAAGCACAATATAATATTTCAACGTATGCAACGGGTACCATAATCAACTGGTACAATTGGCCTATAGATGTAAAGGATCTGGAGCCGTCCATGAATACTTCCAAGTTCACGCATCAAGTAAACCAATAATCCAATTCGAAGCACAACCAATAAACCATTGTCATTTAAACTTATTATACATCACTAAAGTAAGAGAACAACATACCTTTATATGGATATTTTAACTGAATGGCCAGATTATATGCTACAACTGTTAGTATAGGTATACATTTTGCAGCTAAAATAGTCTGTTTATATTCAGCTCAGATTGTTTATAGTAATTACCAATATTCAAGAGTGGAAAAGTATAGCCTTGAGCTTATTTTATTTAACGTTAAAAACTTGAAATTCTAGAGAAACTGAAGAAGCTTCAGTTCCTCAGATAATTATAGCTGTCTTAACCCTGATGCGAAAAAAACAAGCGGGGGTAGCTGTATAAGAAGTGCCTATTGTCAAATGTTCTTGCAGAATCCACAGAAATTTGCTCTTGTTCAGAGAGAGGAAGTATAGTAATACAGTCTTGTCCTCAACTTCACATAAGCTTATTATTTGTGAGAGGAGTGAAAATTACCAAAAGTTCATACAACTTACTTGTAACCATTGCAAGCAACAAGGTACGCAAAATCTCTAGTGGCTGAATCTTCAAAACCAAATACGTCAGACAAGAGCAAAATGCCAGTTCCATTATTATTCTTCACTGCCGTGCACAGATAAGCATTAATCGCATCATCTCCCTCTCCAATCGAGAGCTCCACCCCATTCACAAGTTCACATGTCTCATCTTCTGTGGTATCTTCCACTTTGACTTGACTGGCACATATTCTACTGTTCTTGTTCGTTCTAGAAAGCCAGAAGGACCTCGAACAATTTATACTGCTCCTCTGGACGACAACTGAAACTTCATAGTCAGAATTTGCCTCTTCATTGATCTTATGCAAAGGTCCAGCATAATCACAGAGACAGATGCCAATTACAATTGCAAACAAAAATGCTTTTGTCAATTGATACAGCAAAATGATGTTTACTAGTACTCTTGTGACACCTGGCATGACTAAGAGTTCGAGAGGGAAAAGCAAAACTAGAGATATGCATAGGTAGTTTACCAAACAAAGTGTAAAAGCATATGAAAGTTCACTGCATCTGGAGAGAATTTGATATAAAACTATTGACAGTTTCTAGGCTCTAGTTAAATTGTGGGTAATTAAGCAAATGAGAATCAGCTTGTTATTCCATATAACCGTTCTTATTTTATGGGGACCCAAAATCAATTTTACTTATTTTTCTCATCAATTTAGTAGCCAACTGGCTCAATCTATCCTATGATAGACCAACTTTGTCGTTAGTCTCTGGCAACATTATGTGTATCTAAAGCACCATCAGTATCCCGGATAAGGAACCAGAACAGGACAACGTGTTGGACCAAAACTGAAATGCTTCGATCTAACCTTATTAACATTACACAGACATCTGATCCAATTCCAGCTCATTCTTCCGGCTTCTCGCTAATTGGGGTTCATAATTCTGGTTCACCTGTTATATTTATACTTCTAAGTTTGCTTATAGCTTGATCATTCGCAGCTAAACCATAAATGTAGGCCACCCTTAACTTGATAGTTCTAAGAATACTAAAGACATGGCTGCTCGACGTTGGATATTACAGTGCTCCAAACTCTAATAAACAGAAACTGACTTTAAAAAACTGAAAGAAGATCAGATTTAGTTAGCTAACACATGAGGGATTGCCTTGTAGTGATCTTAGTCGTTTAGCTGGGAAATTCTCTTAAATTAAGTACTATCAAGCTCTTAGATCAGTAACTTCTCCTTAGAAGTTAAAAACAGTGACCCAAAGCAGTTATAAACTGGTATTTGCAAAATCAAGGCCATTAAACTCAAAGAAACAAAAACGTACAGGAAAGTGGAGCTCATGTGATGCAAATGCTGGAACAGGCAGGCATGACTGTTTGAACAAGAAGTTGCTGCTGCAAAGAGTTGTTGGAAGAGCCCATGACAAGGGGATTGAACCCGACCACCCCATTATCTTTCTCACTTTGTAGTCCACTGCTGGCCCTGACAACAAAAAACTGGCAAACCAAGTATCCTAATCTGTGCTGTGAGTGCATGAAAATATCTCGTTTTGGAAGATATGGTCGCGGACTCCTATGGTGCTAAATAATCGAGTGTTGGCCCCAGTCAGCAGCCGGGCTTGAGGTTGTTAACCCACAGATTATCTTCTTTGTTTTTTTTTTGTGGTTTCCCGGAAAATAGCTAGATATCTCTTTTTTTGTTTTTTTTCCGCAAACGTTAGAGCTAGATATCTCAATATTGTCACTTTTTGGTGCCAGGTCTCGTGACCGGGAAATGGAAACAATGAATTCCAATCTTGTCCTCTCTGCTTGAAGTTCCAGGTTTCATAACCGGGAAATGGAAACAAAGAATTTAAGATTTCAAGAGCATAAAATTATACGAACTTTAAATGTATTTTGGAAGAAAAGAGTTCAAGTTCCTAACTTGGAATTCTTGAAAAATTACTGTTGAAGAGAAATTGACAGAAAACTACTTCAGTTAATCTAAAACTAATTTTTGGTTTCTGATTGAGGTAATAAATACATCTGAATACTCTGCTCTTTTTCTCAATCTCAATCCAACCGAAAACACTTGCTCTTCTTCCTGCTGCTGGCTGTTTTGATGGTTCAGGAGGCCTATAAGGCTAGGAGAAGCATATTATCATTATAAGCACAACCTGCAGATGCAAACATTACAAACTTCGTGGCAAAGTCATTCATGCCTCGAAACTCAGCTTTAACCTCAAAGTAATACTGATATATTCCACAGCTGTACCATACATCTAGAGTATTAAGATAATTATAGCAAGCAACAATCATGCTTCATTCAAGGTTTCGAGTCTCCATACGAAGAGACTATAAACAATGGAGAATGGTTTGTTGGTTAGACTCTTTTACCTGGGAAAACATGGACAGATTAAGCTTACAACAAAGATGTTGGACAGGCTTACACCTCAACAATTCCATCCAACCATTTTCTCAACGCTAAGATAAACACAAAGGATTTCATATGAAGAAGTATCAAATGGTAAGACCACATAACCCACTATAAATCTGTGCTGTTCAATATCAGATAAGACAAAATTTGCCTGCAGCCAACATAAGGGTACATCCACCAAAAAGTCTAGCCCATACAGAAACAAAATCGGAAGTAGAGAAAAATAATAAACTCGCTCTAATTTTGGAAATGCGTTCTCTAAAAAACAAGCTCATGGGGTTTGTCTCCTGACTTGAGTGAAAACCTTGCACCCAAATAAGACTTCAAATCTGGAACTCCCTCAATAGCTTTGATCAATTGTGCATCAAGAGCTTTCTGGTCGTCTTTCTTATCCTGTGGGAGCACATTCTTCACCTAGAGTTGAAAGACAGGTTAGTTTAAAAAAAAAATAAAGAACTGAGAAGTTGGGAAAACTGTTGCAAAAGAGCAAAGTCAAATAGATCATTATATAAGCATAATGGTACAAGCAAACCTCTTTCTCTGCCTCAAAGAACTCGCCCTCCCCTTTCTTCTTCTTCTTCTCCACTTGCTTTGCAAAGTACTTATCGTCAAACTTGTCCAAGCTAACCCCGGAGATGTCAACCTTTGTTGAAGTTGCAATAACATAAGACTGATTGACCCTCCTCAAAGGAACACCATTAATCTTAAATGGTCCTGTAATAACAAAGCAGCAACTGACTAAATTACTATATTCTAGGGGGGAAAAGAAGGCAACTCAAATAGCCAGCCCAGATAGTCATTCCAAGCTGAATAAAGGAAAGAAAAAGTGACAGAAAGGTGGAAAAGGACAGAAAAAACAGAGCATAAAAGAGAGTTCCACAGAGTTATTGAGACGTTTTTTGAAAGACCAGACAACGCAAAAACAAAACTGTATCCTACACCCACACAGATACAAGGAACCACACACTAGTATCTACAATAACATAAACCATCAGTTGAGTGGGAAAAGACAAAAGGAGCACTTTTTCAGGACCTAATCTTATTGCTTTAGTTTGCAGGTAGGGAAAAATCCATCTGTACCCATTTGATTCTCTTCCATACTTGCCTAGGTTAGGTCCATGAGAAAAATCAAGCATGCAGTAGTAAAAAGTAACACTTAGCATTCACATTCAATCAGCGAACACCTAGAGAAAATTCCAACCAGAATTTGAACAAAAATGTAGCTTAAACATCCAAAATTTCCCTCAGAGTACTAGTACGATTTGTTATTAACATGTATTTAAGAGTTCAGTACCACTACTTTCCAACATGCATCATTTACAATCATGTTATCACAAAAATCTACCTCAACTCACGTACAACAGTAGAAAAAACAGACTCATCTACATTAAGTTAAGTAAAACATCATCTACATTAATTAAGTTAAAAACCATTGTTTTATCTTCATCCTTCCGACATTTCATTAGTAGCACCTCCATTTCTAAGCCAATCAGTAGCTGTTGGACCTAAGAAGAAATGCTACAACTGCCCAAATTTAACCATACGAATTCCATAGAATGTAACCTAATACTCATCAGACACCCATCAAATTGCTTATCATAAACCATTTGACCTTAGAAAAGGCATCAAATTAGAGATGCAATTATTTCCACAGAATCCCACAAGTTTACAACTCAATCGCTGCTTTATATCATCAGCAAGAAACTTGAAATGTTAACACAAAGGAAATTAAAATTACTTTCAAATCCTTTTTACTGCAATTCATTAAACACCACCAAGGACTTAGAACCCCACAATTATTTTTTTTAAATTAAGACTAAAAACCAAAAACAAAATCACCTAAAGAAATGCAAAATTTCTAAACTTACCAGTGACAAGCAGCAATCCAGAGGTAAGTTGCTTCAAGAAAACCACTCTCTTGCCCTTAAACCTTCCAGCCAATATTATCAACACTGTACCAGGGGTAATACTTGCCCTAGACATCCAAAAATGAAACATTAATGCCCAAAAATCCAAATAAATCTAAAACAAAATAATTAAAAGGAAGCAGCTGGAAATTCAAGGTTGTTTTTAAACCTGAGCTTGGTGGGTTTTGGCTTGCGCTTGTTGGCCAGTGGCTTCTTCACGTCATCAGCTGGATAGAACTTTGCCGGCTTCTCGACGGCGGGCTTCACCTCTTCCGGGGCCTTTTTGGGGTGGGTGGGGAAAGCGCCGCCGTGCTTGGCCTTAATAGCCCATAAACCCCGCTTGTGGTACATTTTGGAACGGGAATATTTTCCGACACCCCTGATCAGATCAGGGTTTCGGCTCACCTTCTTCTGCTTTGCCGCCATTGGCGATTAGGTGACTGTGTGTTTCCGCGTGTTTGTGTGTGAGAAGTGAGACGCAGGCACGGAGACGAAGAAGACTTAACCCTAATTGCTAAGAAATGGATTTATATCAGAGATTTGGTGATGTGTAAAACCCTAGTGGAAGTGCTATGAGATGGGCCAGATGAAGCCCAAAAATACCTGAGACAAACCTGGGCTTCCTTCGGCCTATGAGAAAAATGTTACAAGAGCCCAACTCGTTCCGTATTCCACCATTGCTCCATTTGCTACAAAATAAATAATAATAATGATATGGAAAAAATACATTAACAGAAATAAATAGACACATGAATAAAAAATCAACTTGCGAGACCACAATGTGAATATCACTGCTTTATCCATAAATGAAATTTGGACTTTCACTTTTTGGAAGTAAAGGTTGTTTTAGGGGGAATGAATGAAATTGTAGATTACAAGAAATTAAAGGAAAACAGGGGCAGTTTATGGAAATTAGTTTTTAGTAGCAACTCGGGTGGTTATGAAGGTGTAGGAACTCTTAGATTGAGGGTGTTTTTGTGGTAAACACAAAAACATGTCACTAATTATATGTAGTTTTGTAGTTCTTTATCAGAATTAGTGTTAAGATCACACTCAATGTGTGTGCAATTTGGAAAACCTTAAAATGAATTAATTTTGTATAAGTTTGGTTTTCTATGTAAATAATATTTATATTAATTTTCGAAAGAACTTTGGTTTATAAGGTTATAATAATTTAGTAGTTATAATATTTAAAGTGGTTATAGATAGTTATTACGAAATTCAGGTACTTATGAGCAGTTATGTTGGTAAAATATGATTAGGTGGGTAGGATAAAAAAATTTTTTTTAGAAGGATATGATTGAAAGTTCAAAAAAAGACAACAATTGTTTATAGCAACTGCCTATATTCTAACTTTATATGTTGTTCATATCCTGGAGTATAATAGTGCATTTTATGGTCTTAAAGATAGTTCATTTGACTAAAAAATGTTATATTATCGGAATAAGAGTGGTTTAGATGCTATCATTTGATTAAAAAAATGTTATATTAATATAATTGTTCTGTTTAGAACACTTAAAAATCTTGGGTTTTAATCTCCTTTCCCCTTCTAACTCCTCTCTTGTTAAAAGAAGAAGGGAAAAAAAAACCTTCTATTGTCCAACGATCTATGTTGATTTGTAGTGTGTGTGTGTGTGTAAGGTGCAATGGAAGGGATGATTATTAAAAAATAATAATAATAAAAAAGAACAGCAATAGTATGTAGGATTTCTTTTAGTGTAACTGTGCAAGTAACTTTTTAAAAACTCAAAGAAGAAAAGTGCGAGTGTGTGACATAAGGAGTGAATTTACCCTTGAAAAGAACAGCGATAGCATGTAGAAATTTTCTTTTGCTTAAGCTACTAAAAAGATAACTCCCAAAAAACTGTTATGCACCATCTGTTTTGTTCCCGTACCATATGTTGAGAGACGATATGTCAACATTCATCCCTCTTCATGCCATGCAACATTGAGTAGTGTACATGGTCAATTGATCAGTTCCTATTTGTTGTTTGTTTGGACAAGACTACATCTTGGTTCCCTATTGTTTTAGGGCTGTTTGTCCTTACTTTCTTTGAGAAAATTTTGAGTTCTCAATGCATCAATACACGTAACAGCTGTATAAATACGGGACAGATAGGACGGCAGGTAATTTTGAGATAGAGGATTTGAAGCGCTCACACCACCATGAGTAATAACTGGAGATAACTACTAATCTCTAAACTTGTGTAAAATAGGAAATACTTCTAATTCCTAAACTCATATAATAAGAAATTAGGAAATTCACGGGC